AAGCTGTAATAGCTGCAAAAGGTGGACCGACATCATATTGAACTCTGGGTTAGGAATGGGATGGCACTTCAGTTCATAGTAGGAGTCAAGGCAGGTGAGCCAATACTTTTGGTCATATAGTGTATGTATAAAAAAAAAAAATATTTAGTGCCGGCTTATATTCAGGTGCGCACAGTAGTCCGGAAATTACGGTACATGTATCGTCTGTGTGTTAGACCAACATTAAGCGATTAGACAGTGAAATTATTGGATATGTGCACACCATTCTGCCCTTGCCTCAAAATGCATAAAATGTTTAATCGGAATAAAAGATTTTTTTTTTTTTTTTTAATCAAATTAACAGGTCTAATTTTTAACAGTTTTTTTTTTTTTTTTTCCAAATGAACAGGTCCCACGTTTAAAGGTTAAAATATTATAGAAAACATATTCCATCAGTGCTATTTTGTAAATTTGGTGTTTAAATTTGCTTTCATTCAATTCAGTGACACAAACACTGTTACAAAAGGAAGCAGTAGAACCATCAGCTCCATTTTATTAATGGACTTGGTTTGGAGACAGTGTCCTGTTGAAAATGTTTATCTGAGAATAACGGAAGGACATAAGGACAAATAAAAAGCTTCTTCTGGCATTCAATAATACAGAAACGCAAATGCACACTTAGATCATTATCATAAGCGGTGACTTCAAAACGACAACATAAAGCAGCTGCTGAGTCTGAATAACACCAACATTATCTGTATTTTGTTAGCTTAGCATCAATAGACCTTTCCTCACTTTAAGGAAAAAAAAAAAAACCACGTTAGAAGGCAGGGTATAAGTCCTGACATCTTGACGACCGACTTCTCATCATCCATGACATTTTCTCCGTTCCGTGCATTGCAAGGTTAAGTGTTTTCACAGCAATTAGGGGGAAACATGGAGATCTTCCTTTATTAAAAAAAACAAAGGTAGAACAGGGGGAGAAGTAGAAGTAGAAGAACAAAAAAGGCAGAGGGGAAAGAGGAGGGGGATAAAATAAGGTCAAGGGTGAGAAATACTTTTCAGGAGAAGAACACAACTGTACAAGACAACGTAAGAAAAGGGAAGGGAAGTGAGTAAAATGAGGGTCACGATGATAAGAACACAGGAAAATAAAGCAAAAAAGAAGAGAGAACTTGAGGGGGAAAAAAATGGAAAAACAAGACTAATGACTGAAAAACACTTAAAGAAATCAATAAAAGAAGAAACTGACCTGATGACATCATGCTGACATTATGCAGACATCAGCAGGCTGGTGGTTACTGTAAACCAAAAACAGAGTGTTGTTTGATTTCCATTAGTTCCTGAAGCTCAGAACTTCGGGAACTAAGCGTTGATACCAGGCCCCTATTTTACTATCGACCTTCTATCATTGCTGTCCTTGGTTTCCGGTGGCAGCAGCGCATCCTGTCTGTTAGCCAGGACAAATGCTAACGTGGCTAAGATGCCGGCATCTAGGACACCCAGGATGGCAAGTATGTAGGCCCAGTGAACCGAACAGGTCCCAGAGGAGAAGCTACTCACCTGGATTCCAAAGACAGACACATTTTGCACATTTTTATTGTCGTTGTACGTTCACAGATACACACAAATCTTGTCTTCTGCATTTAAAGTGAAAGTGAAGTGAAGTGAAGACTGGAAAAAAAAATTGATTGGTTGAAGGTGGTGTCAAATGAATCTCGGATAATAATATTGCAAAGGAGGACGTTATTTTTCATTCTCGCTCTCTTTTTTGCCGCCGCCGGTTCGAACCAAAACGTTGACAATGCTAGCCAAAAATGGACAGGTTTAAGGTGCGTAAAAACAGTAACATTTAAAATGTGTGATGTAAACAGGTCTGAAAACTTGGCCTTGAAATTTTCTTATGAACCAGAAGGGGGTTTATTTAACCCATCGACCCATTCATGGGACAGCAATCACTGAGTTTACTGACCATCGGAGGTTTTTTTTCTTACCCTATAAATCAACAAAGATCTAGTATCAGAAGTAGCATCAGAATTTCTCTGAGGAAAATTCATTTCTCAGAAGTACTGAATCTTTTGTAGACTCATTTAACAACTTATTTCTTTAGATGGGAGCCGTTTTGCTCAAACAGAAATTTGCAGGTTTAAAGATAATATTTCGCTTAACGCAAGTGCGGTTTATTTTTTTATGAACTAACTAGCATAATCCGTTCGAGGACCAAGATCGTAACTCGAGGTGCTCATGTTTTCCCATAAGAAATAACAGGAAAAAAATGAATCCATTCCTGTCTGGGAAAAAAAACATGTTTTTAATTGCTATAGAGAGATACACACACAAATAATTATAGTATATAAGGATTCCTGTGATATCAAATAAAATGTGGTTTTTATTATGACTTCTTATCTTCGAGACAGACGATACAGTAGCGGCTAATGGAAATTAACTTGTGTTTTCTTATTCACTTTTCCATTTTTTTTTTGTTGCTTTTCAAATATCGAATCGAATTTTTCACGAATATGTGAAGTGAACAAGGTGCTGCCACCTGCTGTCAACGTCTGTAAGCGTGCTGGTATCTCGAGTCCTTACTTGTATCTCAAAGGCCAAAATTTGCACGGCGGTTTTATCTCAAAGGCCAAAATTTGCACGGCGAATTTGTTCGCTCGTTTCCCCGAAATACTCGTAAGTTGAGGTGCTCGTATCTCCAGGTTCCACTGTAATCAGTAGATGGTGAATAGAATACTGGGGTTTTGACTTACTGTATGGCCACACAAGGACCTCATTTCTGGACTGTCCCATGAGTCTGGAAACAGGAGACAAGCCAATGCAAGACAGAAACCTGAATAGAAAGAAATACGATACTTCACAGATAGAACACACACTTTTCAGACAAATAACGTCGGAAAGAAAACTGCAAACCAAACTATCTGTGCCAGCATGGTTAAGATACTGAATCATTGATTGACCTGCAGTCAACTGAAGCCACGCGCAGATTTTGTAGACTGTAGCCGCACTGCAAAATCTAAAAAGACACAGACAGAGGAGACTGGTCCAAACTGTCCACAAGGACACGCCCACCAACACTGCCACCGACTGGAACGAGGGGAGTGGAGACAAAGAGGACAGTCCACCTCGACAGTCCAGGACCGGCCAATCTGACTCAATGCACACCTGAGAGAGCAGGGACATCGTTACAGATAAAGATTGTGGGTTTCAACCACAAAAGTTAAAACCAGTAATCAAATAAGTAATCAGATTACTATAACGGTATGCATTTTTACCATTGGAAGTAGTATTAGGAATTGAGTGCAATATCAAAATTGCATGCAAAGTATATTTATACTGCAGGAACCATGATTAGTCAGTTGTTGATAGTCTCAGGGAGTAGGATCAATATTAGGGATGTCGGATAATCGGCCGCAATTAGCATAGTGTTGTAATAGCTGTAAGAAACGTTATTGGTTTTTCCTGTGATGTTATAAAAACCCAATAACGCAATGTCTCGTGAAATGAAAAAAACTTCTGTCCACTAGGGGGGGGTCAAGGCTTTAACCCATCACCTTAGTAGTAGCAGGCCACCACTGCCCCGCTATATCGGTATCGGTTAATATCAGAATCGGAAATTAAGTGCTTGGACAATATCAGATATCGGCAAAAAGTTCATATCGGACATCCCTAATCAATATAGAAGAAATATATTTTTTGTGTTGTTAGTGTAACTGGACCTCAAACAGTCCCAGGGTGCCACTGGGTGCCGCTGGGTGGTACCTTCCCGTGTCTGCAGTACCAATCCAGGATGGCTGCACCAGAATGACCACCTCGATGATGGCGAGGCAGAGTGTACAGATAGCCCAGAGAACACCGATTGCTCTAGCACTGCGGACAAATTCTGTCTGATAGAGGTGAGAGAGGTCAGTGAGGGCTGGGGACACTGACATGACTGGGGAGGTAAGAAGGCAGTAATGAAGACAACATGTGAGGGGAAAGAGAAAAAGAGCGACATTTTTCTGTTAGTGTCAAAGCCACTTTTTTTCCCCCAAAGTTTTTCTAGTTTCAGTCACATTTCCTTTTCATTACATCGTTTTGCCAGAATCTTCTGGGGACTCCTCGGCAGGTCATCTGCCTTCATCTTATTCTCTCTTGCATCCTGTCTTTTTCTCCAACTATTATCATGTTTCCATGTTGGTCGTTAAGGTCAAAACACAACAGCATTTCACAAAACACAAAAAACAATACAGAAAACACAGTTGATGGGAATGTCATGTCATGTTCTGCCCAATCAGAATCAAGAAGTGTTTTTTGAAATGTTATTGTGTTTTCTGAATTGTTGTTGTGTTTTCTGAAACGCCGTTGTGTTTCTGAAATGTTGTTGCGCTTTCTGAAATTTTGTACTGTAATGTTGTTTTGTTTTCTGAAATGTTGTATATTCTGAAATGTGTTTGTGTTTTCTGGATTGTCATATTTTCTGAAATGCTGTTGTGTTTTCTTTGGAGAAGCTCACAGCATCTGTTCTGACTGCCCACGGGACTATCAGTTGATTTCATTTCTCTGCTTGACATTTGACAATTGCCAGACAATTAATTATATGACGATTATTAATTTATTGTTTATTTATTATTCATTTAGGAAATGGCAGATGCCTTGATTTCTGAGGTTTAGTACATAGTCAGAGCCATAAATGCAATGGTACTAAGAATTGGCATAATAATTTATTTCGGTGTATCGTTTTTTTTCGGCCTTGGTTTCCTCATTTTTGGTTTCAATTTTAATGTCGGTGCATCACTTGTAGACACCCTTCTTACCATCGTCAGTGGCTCCATTTGAATATTATCGCAAGCGTAACTCATTCAAAAAGCACAGTAACAGCACCATTTTTCACCCTACTGCTGACTTGTTTCATTTTTAGAACATTATTAGTCCACAGGGGCTACCAGGAGCCGCTGTGGACCACGTTGGTGACCCCTGCTCTACTTAAATCATGACACTGAAGAGCTACAACAGCTATTACAAAAGACATTCCACACTTCGCCCACTGTAATGTTGCCATCACCACTAAAACCATGCGCTTGTTGATTCCCCTATCTGTCATTCATTCAAAATTCAATTCACTGTATTTTTTATTTAGTCCCATTTCTAGCACAAATGATAACAGTTCAGTAAAGCCTTAACGACATGCATGCTTGAGTGTACAATAGTACTGATATTTATATTAATCATAATTATGTATTGATAATTTAAATTATGACAAGTGATTAATCCATTAGACCATATCCGAGAATGAGTCCAACAAGAGAGTGACGTCATCAATTATCAGTAAACTTCATCAATTCACTAATCCGCTGTATTGTCCACGTGACGCACAAACAGCGCATAAACAACAACGACTACGGCACTGAATATGACGTCACCACCGCAGCGAAAAACGAAAAACAGCCAAACAAGCGAAAAGCTTGTTTGGCAGAAGACAAACCTGCAGATGGCAAACGACCTTCTGTTCCTGCCTTTATCTCTGTGTCTGTTCTGGAGGTTACCAGCACATTAGCAAGTAGAGGATGGAGATCTCCTGTCTGCAGACAATCAAGACACCGCCCCCCTCGGTTTCGTTCTCTCGTGGGCGCGCCCATGCACTAATGCCGTTATTGCGACACAGGCGCCATCTTGAATATGAGCGGACGTAAATAACCTGAAATCTCGTTAGACTAGTGATGGGAAGACCGATTCTATTTATTGATTCAAATCTTTGACTCTCGAACAGTAAAATGAACGAGTCGTGAACGAATCTTGAACTAATCATTTCATTCGTTTTACAGCAAGTGGCGCTTTAGCCCTATTGTGGGCGTTGTAAAGAAGGCTGCGGTTCTCCGACACTAAATACTGAAGGCAACATGGTTTGCTTCCGCTGACAAAGTCTACAAAGTACACAAAATGCCATAAGCAATTAAAACCATGC